CCCTAGTGCAATAATAATAGATCTCATCCAAACATCCAATAATTTTTATGCCAATCATATTTAATAATTGAAAGAGATATCTATTCATTATATATTGTATGAATGTCTCTAATATTTCTCACCAATATTATTAATTGTTGTTGCGTCCTGGAATATTCGCGGCGGTAGAGAAATATATAGTTTAACGTCTTAGCGTTGTACGAAGATCCAGCACACAATCAGATAAGTGAGAGGATGTAGCATTCATAAGTGACACCAGAGTTTTTACGTGGAAAACCCCTGAAAAAAGGGGGAAAAACCACGGGGCCTCGACCGGACGTAGAGGAACATCCGGTCGGAGGCAAATTCCCGCCAAATACCGAGATGTACCGAGCAAATACCGAGCAATGTCAAACAATAACGAAGAATACCATCATTTGAAGACCCAATACCGAGTTATATCGGGCTTTACAGAGCAAATACCGAGTTATACAAAAGTTGTACCGAGTTTTTTTCAGAAAAACTCGGTACAACTCGGTATTTCTCGGTACAGCTCGGTATAACTCGGTATTGGTCTTCAGAGAACGGTATTCTTTATTATTATCAAATAATACCTAGTTGTACCGAGCAAATACCTAGTTGTACCGAGCAAATACCTAGTTTTTGGACGGAAAATTGCCTCCAACCGGACGTTCCTCTACGTCCTTGCACCGAACGTAATAAAAGTTCTCCGCCCTAACTCACGTGAATCTCAGTCGCCTTCTTGCCTCTATTGTTCCTTCCCTTTATTCGTTATGAGAATTTCTTTTTGTAATTTGCATATTATATTGGTCAATCTGATGGGGTGACTATCCTTGAACTTTGTTTTTTACTATGTAATTTGATTCTAGACGCTTTAGAGATTAGTTATATTTTAGCATGTGAGTGAAATTAGAAATTTAGAACTATTTGCTTCCGTAATGACGAATTTCTCTAAGGAGAAATTAGTAATAACTATGTTTTTTTTTAAATAAAAATACAAATTTTATTAAATCATAAAAAGGAGTACATCAAGTATAAAAACGAAACGATTAAAAAACTATAGAAGATACAAAGGGGTAAGAACCCATCAGGCTCAGAGTTGGCAGAGGCTTCCAACTACTCCGAAGTCAAACACAGATCATCCAGTTTGATTTGAGAGCAGTAACACACCAAGTAGCCATCCTAACCGAACAAAAAATACACCACCAAAGGTCGCCACGAGCCACGACTATGGAATAGTGAGCCTTAGCTACATCATTGCCCAAAAAATTATAATGCACAACCAGAAATTTTAAACTAAGCTCCAGTAAAATGACAACCACCAAAAGCCAACCAATGCCCAAATCGCCACCACCACAAAGAAACCAACAACCATAGAGAATCACCAAAGGCAACCGAAAACAACAACACATTCATAAAATTATTTCTTACCATGTTTACCCCTTCCAAGAGAGGAAACATAAACAACAGGATGATCATTCTGCAAAGAAAAATCATCCCCATTTACCTCAGAAGAGGAATCAGTGAGCATTAAAGTCAATCTAGTTGCATCCTAATACTCTACCCCGAATTGGCACCCACATGAGCAACCAAAGCCTCATGTGATAATAAATTAACATGGACCTCAACAAAATGGCCAGTTACTTGAACAGTAGACGTTACCAGGAAAGAACTGTAGAAACAATAACACAAGAAGAGACCTCACTCGCCAAGCCTACACCAGAAGGTGTTACTGATTCATCCACACCCAAATTAATCGAAGAGCAAGCCAATAGAGACCCAGGGGAAAACTGATTAGGGAAACCAGAAGAACCCGAATTCTCCACGGCCACACAAGACACAACATTTCCAGTCAAACAGCACGGGGCAGACACAACACCCACATCAGATAAAATGGGGAACGAATTAACTTCACAACCCAAATGACCACCGTCACTATCACAAACCCGATAGCCCTGAACAACATGAATGACCCCAACCACAACACCCTTTGAAACCTCCACAGGAGAGACAGCGGTAACAACCTCATCAACAGAAACCAAAATGACTATCAAATGAACAAGCAAAGGGACAGGGGAAACCGGCACCAGAGACCCCAAGTCATGAACATGAAGGACAATCAGTATGGAATCAGGGGACAAAACAACAACAAAATCCTCTAGTTTACCAACATCACAACCCACAACCTGCTCTGCATTCTCCGTCATAGAAGGGACAACAACATTCTCAACATATGAGGGGATTAAATTATATCTTGGGTTAGAGTAGCATTAGGGAGATCAGTTGAGCCAGGACGACATTTTCCTGGAACATGACCAATACACTTACAAGATGCACAAAAGGGGGGAAAATCATCCAAAATGACCTACTGTACATACTCTAAATTTTCAGAGCCTAACCAAACTTGATTATGTAATGATTTAGTTATATCAAGCTCCACTAATATACGATCAATAGATGGTCGGGATCCCACAGAAGTAGCTTCATCAATTTTTAAAGGCTTTCCAAAAATAGCACCAAGGCCGTGAAGAACATGAGGGGTGTACAGATGGGAACGAAGATATGGAAAAGAGATCCAAATCGGTATAACAGACGACTCAACACCAATATCCAAGTAAGGAGACCATTTTGTTAATTTCATATAATAGTTGAAAATAAGATAGGATCTTTGAAAAAATACCATACAATAGTCAAGGTCATTAGCTAATTTGATCAGAATGTGTGAAGGATCCAACAAGGTAATAGAGACTTAGACGTTTAGCTTTAGGTTAAAAAAATTTTCAAATTGAATCAAGAGAATGCCTCTTAGAAAGGAAAAACCCAACTAAAAAAAATTGAAACGGGGTAGCCAGATCCTTGATTTCCTGGTCGAAAATCCAAAGAGAGGGCAATCCACGAAATGTAGAAGTCCGTAAATCCGGAAAAGAAGAAGTCAAAGAAGAGCCAGCGAGTGCCTCTAAAAATGAGCGCGAATGAGAAAAACCCCCCTGTTGACCTCATTTTTCGCTCGAGCACATTCGATCGACGCGATTGTTCCTTGTCGAGTTCAATTTGACCCGAATCGATTTCAATTTGAGTTCAATTTGGTTTGATCAAATCGATCGAACTTAACCCGATTTTAAATCAAGCCGATTTGAACCAAATTCGCATCCAAACCTAACTTGAATCAGCCCAAATTAATTTTGGATAAATCCTAATTGCTTTTGGCTTAATTTGAATCGATTCCTAAATCTGGTATGTGCATCCAATGGCTCTGATTTCCCCAAAAGTCGAAGTCGACCGTTGTTACGCGAGAGCTCTTTTTCGGTGTTTTCGAGCGGAGCAGAAAAAAGAGAGGGAGGTTAGAAGTATGGGGAGAGGCTCCGGTTAGGGGATTCTCACGGGCTCTCTCTCTCGCGCGCCTGGCTCCCCTCTTCCTCTCTCTCTTTCTCATGGTGCCAAGACCGAAGATCACCCATTCGGTCTCTCTCCCTCACGCTCTATCCCTCTTGGTTCCGGAAATCCCAGGCAAATCCCGAAGCCCCTGCTTTCTCCCCGGTGTAGGCCGAAGCTCGCCCGATCTGAGCGCCCCCGGCTTCGCACACCCGAGCCGGAGCCGACGCCGCCCGGGCAAGTCTCGATCTCCCTCCTGGACAGATCTGCTCTCGTCGCTTACCCTAGCCGAACCCGACAGCAGCCAGCATCCCCGACTTCCCTGATCCCGACGCCGGCATCCCTTGCACGACCCGATCCTGACGTCTCCAGCCATCTTGACGTCGGTCTTCCTTGTGTGACCCAAGTCCCTTTCTTTTTGCAAGGTGAGCTCTTCTTCTTAACTAGATCAACGGCTAGGATTAGTTCCTCCCAATTACAAGCAATAATAATAATAATAAAATTTATTTCAGAATATTCTGATTGATTTTTTATTAAAATAAATTTATAAATTCAAATTTTAGTTTGAAAGAAATTTTATATAAATATTTATTTAAAAACAGATTAAAATTATGAAATTTATTTTAATTATCTATTGAACAGAATATCTTAAAATAAGCTTCATTTAATTTTTTTACTTCAGTTTTTCATAAAAATGCAGATTTATTATTTACTCTTTAAATTTCTAATACATCTATTTGATTTATTGAATTAACAAAAATAAAATAAATCTAAAAAAAATTCTAAATCACTTATGATAGTAATTTTTTTCTTTTTTACATTTAATTAATTTTGAATTTGTGTTATGTAACTTATTTTATTTATGATCTATCTAACATAGCAAGTAAAAATACATAAAAAATAATTATTATTTTTGACTAAAATAGATTTCTAAAAAAGTCAAAGGCAAACGAGAGTAGTATTCCTCACAATTAACTTAAATAAAAGAATCATTGGTCAATTCTATGAAGATATATTATGTATCGTGTAAATTTTTTTCTTATAAAATATTTTAAAACATAGATTTTATTTAATTATATGCAAAATAAATTTAAAATAAAAAAATTACTTTGAAATTTTCGCATAGAATAATAGTCAGTTTTATTTCAATTGTATGAATATTTACGTTTCCTAGTAAAAAACTAAATTTTTTTTTGAAACAGGGTATCCGCCTGCTTCCATCTCAGAAAGAGCGCTTGGCGGCGTGACTAATCCTCAACTGGCCTAGAAGAGACACCCACCCCAAAAACATCTTGACTCGCACCTGATTCACCCCATTTAAGAGACGCTGCCGCTCGACGGAAAACGAGCACGGGTTGCGGGGTTCCCAATCGTACTCGACCACCAATCAAGCTAAGCATTGTGGGTAAAAAAATTACAATTGAATTAGACAAATATTTTTTGAAAATTAAAGGATTTTTAAATATGAAATGCTTTTGGAAAAAAACAGAAGAAAAAGCTTGAAATTTTTTTGGGACATTTAAGTCAATTTAAGACAAATATATACACACAAATATTAAATCTAAGATCTCTTCATTGATAGATTAAGCTCCCAACTACTAGACCAAATAATGAGATGTGTAAAAGAGTAACGCCAACAACTTCGTACATTGGGTACATAGCCAGCCTCCCATCTCTCTGTTTCTTCTCTCCTTGCTCTCGATCCCTTACGTCTCCACCTGTTCACCTGGCTTGGAGCTGCCTTGTGGCGGGAGGAGAGAGGGAGGGAGAGAGAAAGAGAGAGAGAGAGAGAGAATACAGAGGAGAAATTAAGGGTCTTGCCTCCCCCAGAAAAGCCCCTCGCCCTCCTATATCTCTTTCTTTCCTACTGCTACTTTTGCTGACCCGAGGAATCAGTTTGCACTCGCACTCTCTCGCCTCGCACGCAATTGCAGTCTTTTTCGAACCTCCGCCACAATGCTGTCCCTCAGCCGCACCGCGTTTCTGGTAATTCTCCTATCCACTTAAGAAAATCCATTTCCATTTCTCTACGGCAGAGAGAACGAAATCAACGTAAAAGAAGGAACTTTGTTATATTTTCGGCAATTTTTTGCTCGCATTTATTGTGCAGGAGGGCGTAGATCAACGCCGTTTCTGTCGTGCGCAGAGAACTCCGGCGGCGAAGGTGAAGGCCGGAGTGGTGCGGTGTGTCGCGGCGGGTGAGAGGAAAACGAGGAACGCTGAGATCTTGATAGAGAAGAGCGCAGATATGGTGGATCCGAAATCGGCCGTCTCCGGCGGCGTAAAGGACGTTTACGGCGAGGATCGGGCCACCGAGGAACATCACATCACGCCGTGGAGCCTTTCCGTTGCCAGGTTCCGTTATCTTTGCCAACCTTCTTCATTCATTTTTCAGCATCGGTTCCATCGGCCGAATCTGGCGGACTTTGTCGTTTTATTCAGAGCTCGGCGAAATGATCCTTCCGTTTATTTTCCCCCTTTTTCATGTGATCGGCCGACCTTGTCTTGACTTGGGCCATTTCCTTTTCTTTATTTTTTATATTTAAAAAATGTTCTTTTTTCGTTTCGTCTACTGACTCGGGCGATGCGGCGATTTCTTCAAAGTTTCTTGCGATTCCAAGTTTGCTTCCTTTATTCAATGGATTAATTGACACTTCTAATTTTTTTTTAATGTGATAAATCAAGGAAATATTCCGTTTTTTTTTTCCTTTATATTTTATGACATAATTTTTTTTGGATCTTAATTTGGTTGTTGAAGTAAACATATGTAAGATATGAACTGCTTGTTTTCTTTTTCACTAAAGGAAAGTTTCTATTTTTCTTCCGTTTGGTTTGACCGTTATCCAGCATTGTTCTTGGCAATGGAAAATTAAATTAGATATACTATTTTGTTATGTTTATCAGTATGATTTCTATTTACAACTGATTTATGACTCTTTTATTAATATGCTTAGCGGCTACTCATTGTTAAGAGATCCACACCACAATAAAGGTCTTGCCTTCACTGAAAAGGAGAGAGATGCACACTATTTGCGTGGTCTCTTACCTCCAACATGCTTATCTCAAGAACTCCAGGTATCAAATTTAGTTGTCACTTACTCCTGCTATGTTTATTCTGGCCGGCAATTTCTGATTTTTACTGAATTTACTTTGCAGGTGAAGAAGCTTATGCACAATCTTCGTCAGTATCAAGTTCCCCTTCAACGTTACATGGCACTGATGGACCTTCAGGTACAACTATGGCAACTCATTTCTGTTGCGTCTATCTTCTGCGTTCTTTCCTTCACTTCCACCTGTGAAATATCTGGTTCAAAGATGTGCTAAGCAATTGAATTGTGTGTGTGTGTGTTTTTTTTCTTTAATGGCAGGAGTCGAACGAGAGGCTGTTTTACAAGCTTCTGATTGATAATGTTGAGGAATTACTTCCTGTTGTTTACACACCAACAGTTGGTGAAGCTTGTCAGAAATATGGAAGCATTTTTAGGCGACCACAGGGGCTCTACATTAGTCTGAAAGAAAAGTATGGTTTTGTAATCTTAGAAACTTTTCAGCTGATCATGACTTTTTAGTTTATAGTTGGATTGAGGAATTATTTGCAGGGGCAAGATTCTTGAGGTAATGAAGAATTGGCCAGAGAAAGCAATTCAAGTTATTGTGGTTACTGATGGCGAACGTATTTTGGGACTTGGTGATCTGGGTTCCCAGGTTGTGTATGATTATATATATGCATAAACTAATATCAAAAGGCACAAGAGATACAAATTTGGGTAGTAAATTAATAATTGTTATGATGTGTGAGAACCGTTTTAAATTTTATTCAGGGTATGGGGATTCCTGTTGGCAAGCTTTCTTTATACACTGCTCTTGGGGGTCTTCGTCCATCGGCTGTAAGTACTTATTTTTAATTTAATTTTGTTATTTTTTTCTCGTTTTGATATTTTTGCATTGAAAGGTAGGACTAAAGTAGTGCTAGATGACATTTTCTTGTGAACTTGGATGATATTTTGTATTTTCTTTAGTGCTTACCCGTCACAATTGATGTGGGAACAAACAATGAAAAGTTGCTGAAAGATGAGTTTTATATAGGATTGAGGCAGAAGCGTGCCACTGGTCAGGTAGCCTTCCTTTTACTAGTTTTGTTGATACATTGTTAATTAACAATCTTTTGTCATGCTTTTGGTAGAGACTGTTAATGACAATCTATTATTTGAAACTCCAAAAAATATATGGGATTTTCTTTGTTTATTAGGAGTATGCAGAACTTATGGAAGAATTTATGAGAGCTGTTAAGCAAAACTATGGAGAGAAAGTGCTTATACAGGTTGGTCATGTTATTTGTCGAAGAACACAGGAAATTGAAAAATCCTAATTGCTGTTTGAAATATGTTCATTCACCTCTCAGTTTGAAGACTTTGCAAACCATAATGCATTTAGCTTACTTGAAAAGTACAGCAAGACTCATCTTGTCTTCAATGATGATATTCAGGTAATTGTAACAAAAATGTCTGTCTCTTATCTGGAAAATTTGCAACTTTTTTCCCTATTTTATCCAACTTCATATCAATCTACGTTCTGAAAAATAAGGCATTGATGCTTTAACAGGGAACAGCTTCGGTTGTCCTTGCTGGGGTAGTTGCAGCACTAAAGGTGGTTGGTGGTAAATTAACAGACCATACTTTCTTATTCCTTGGAGCTGGGGAGGTATGCCAATAATCATTTTTCTGGAATTATATTTTTTTGAATTTATAGAAGTTGTTGAAGTCCATGGAATCCACTATTTTATAAATTATTTATGTAAAATCAGTGCGTATGAAAATATGGGCCTTTTTGATGCGGAACTGTGACTAAGGCTTCATTTGGGATTGGCTTTTTTATTGCTTCTTAAAACGGAGTTTCAGTAAAAGTCATCCCAAACAAAACCTAACTCCATGGTGCTTTTCCTACTTCACTGTTATTTTGCTGCTACTTACAAGTCTTGTTATGCCTTTTGTGTGTTGTTGCAAGTATACTGCTTTACTGGCAGGGTTCAAGGAATTTCTTGCGATGTCTATTCATGAGAATTGTTTAAGATAGCTATTTTAAAATTTTGATTTCTGGATGAGGTTGAAGTATGAACTCAAGGGCTATTTAGAATTATATTGGGATAATATTGTGCCAATAATTTCTATTAAGCTTGAGATGAATCTATAAGCAAATATTATTAAGTAACCTTTCTTTGATAGATATTTAGGCTTTGTTTGGGACAACTTTCTTATTGCTTTCTAAAGTTGTTTTTTGTATAAAAATTTCAAATTAAAAGATTTTTTATAATAGAAAGTAGCTCTATAAAGCAGTAAGAAAGCTTTCCCAAACGAAGCCTTATCATGCTTCATGATGATGTTGATAATAGTGGAGGCACCACCATGCAATAAAAAAATATTGGTGTGCTATAAAAAATATTGATGTATTTGCCAATATTTTTAATGCTCAGAATGTTAATGATGTATCATTAAATCTGCTTTTCCTTCATAACGATCACGAGTTTTCTGTAGGCAAAGTGTACCTCACCCCCTATGATTTACCTATGTACCTCATTTGCACTTCAAGTTGCTGAACTGTAAAGATATTTATATAAGTCAACTTTCGTTTAGGTTAAATGCCAAAATTGTATTGGTTGGATATAATGACAATAAACATGATGTTAAAATTAGCTATAATTATTTAAGGATTCTGTTAGATTGGTCCAAACGGGACCGACTCAGGCAAATAGAGGTAGAAATTCTGGGCATATGCCGACCGGACCGCAAGTTTCCACAAAACATTTTAGGAAGGATTTTTGAGGATTTTGGGAGGGAAATTTGAATGTAGGGACTGTTTAGGGATTTCCTTTTGAATTGTGTGCATTAAATAGTTTGCTTTCCTAGGGTTAGGGCATCTTGAATTTGGTTGAAATTTGAGATCTTTTAGATTTAGGTTTTCTTTTGGGCTCTAGCGACGTCTAGAGAATTGGGAGAGATAGATCCTCCTCTCAAATAGATGATCAATTGTGTCTTGTTATTTCCTTCCTTTAGTTTGATTATTGCAATAAAAGCTACTGTTTTTCTGGTTTTCATTGAAGTTTGGAAAAGTTTTTCCGTTGTTTTGTTCGAAATTGATAGGTTTTACTTGAAATCTTCAAGTATTTCATATCAAATTAGTATCAAAGCAGATTTTTGGGACTGTTTGGGGGAGTTTTTGGAGAAAATCAACGATTGAATTTTAACCAGAAGGGGGCTGTTTTGCTGTTTTTGGAATCGAGATTCAAATTTTTGAGTCCAACAAAAATCTGGTTATCGATGGCGGCCAAGAAAGTGGGTGTGTTGGAGGAACGCCTGGAAGGAGAGATCAGACAATTGAAAATTGAAATTTTAGATCGCCACGCTCAACTTTCAAATGTCAAAAGTAAAATTTCAGCCATCCACGAGAAGATGGATGTGAATTTTTCCAGTCTGGGGGAGATGTTGAAGAAGTTGCTCGAGGGCCAATCCAAAACGACGTCATCAGAGGCGAGAGAAGCCTCCGGCAAACCAGGAAGCGGGGAAAATTCTAATCTAATAAGTCAAATGGAAGATCAGGAGGTGGAGATTCAAAAGGGAAAAGAGAGAATACCTCTCCTAGAGCCTGTTCCTAGGGAGGAGACGGATAGAGGGTTTGGGGAGAGGTGTGAGGAGGTGGAGCATGAACAAAGAGTGCTGAATTTGAGAGAAGAGGGGTGGAGTGTAAAAACTCGTATTTTGACTTTGTTAATTTTTTTTGGAGTCATTATAACTTCAAATCGTAAACCGTCTTTGCCATGGTATTTTGATTGAAGTATTTTACTTACACGAATTTTTTCGTAATTTTTGGGCACCGGTAAAAATCCTTAAGGAATTTGTACATATCGGTACAAGTGAGGATGATAAGGACATCGATCAGAAATTCAGACACGTGTACCGGCGACGGAATCGTAGATCGACGGCTACGATTCAGCGTCTTTACTTTTGATGCATTTCTTTATGTTTTATGTAGTTTTGTTATTTTCCGAATTTACCCCTATGGGGAAGTGTCTTGTTATTGTAGCCCGGATGGAAATTGCGTACTTTTCTTTTTCATATTTGAGACCTATATATAGTGGTCTATGTTGTAAAAGGATGAAATCCTTAAGGAATTTGTACGTGTCGGTACAAGTGAGGATGATGAGGACATGATCAGAAATTCAGACACGTGTACCGGCGACGGAATCGTAGATCGACGGCTACGATTCAGCGTCTTTACTTTTGATGCATTTCTTTATGTTTTATGTAGTTTTGTTATTTTCCGAATTTACCCCTATGGGGAAGTGTCTTGTTATTGTAGCCCGGATGGAAATTGCGTACTTTTCTTTTTCATATTTGAGACCTATATATAGTGTTATGTGTTGTAAAAGGATGATGATTTGATAATGAAAATTTCTTATGTTTTATTCTTCTTCTTGTATGAGCATTAGAGAGGAGAGAGAGACCAAGGTGAGGGCAAGCGCAATACCCACCAGTCATTGGAAGAGTCTACGACTTGGTTAAAAAGTATTATAAATGATTTTTTTTATTATATTTAAATGAGAATTTGACTCTTAATAGAACTTAATGAAGAACAAATGATCCATATAGCCGACCCCCGATAGTGTGATAAAGATTTATTGTTGTTGTTGTACTCATGTTGAACCTTTACTAGATATTTATGATCTTTCTTATGTTGATGAATTGAATTTTAGTTCGGAACAATTTAGACCTAGATTTGTGTATGAGAAAAACATCTAACATTATTACTTTTTGAACTATATAAGCCATATAAATCTTACCAAATTGATCCATTAATTGAGTACATTAGTTAGAATTGGTGCATTACTCTTAGAAATTTTTCTAGAATTACTCATCCTTCGTATTGGCATTGCTTGCACGCTACCTTGATTTATATTCCTATTCTTTCACGTTATTAGGGCCCTTTAAGACAACCATATATGAGATTCGTTCATTATCCTCCTAATGTTAAAATCATTGTTTGTAAATGTGTTTACTTGATTAAACTTCATTTTAATGGTACTTTGGATTGCTATCAGGAATGTTTAGTCGTCATTATTAACAAATAATAATATGGTGTTGTCAATGAGGAAAATTTGGCTCCTATAGCTAAAATGATTACAGTACAAGTGGTTGTCTCTATTATTGTTTTACCAAGACAGCCACTTCATCAAAGGGACTTTAAAAAAACTTTTCTTCATTTTGATCTCAAGGATGAGTTATTCATGATTCTTCCACTTGGATTTTTCCTCCTCTTCTTTGGATGAATGTAAATTGAAAGTACTTTTTATATGGACTGAAACAAGCTTTTGGGGCATGGTTTGATAAAATTCTTGTCAACCTTTGTTTCTATTTAAGCAAAAGCTAATTTGAGTCCTCTTTGTTTCTTTACATGATATCTATTGGTACTTGTCGGCATTATTTTTGGATCTAATTCACACAATTAAAATGTCTAATTTTGTGCAACTTGGTATCAAATCCACCTAGTTGATCTTGACATTATCACATCCTCACCATGATTGGATATCAAATACACCTATTATAGTGAGAGAGATCTTAGACCAAGCTAAATGGTGTGCTTGGTTAGTCCCAGTACATTGAATTCTATTGGGGTTTAACTGAGGCAATACATGCTTGGCCTTGGTTGGTTGATATTAAATGTACTAACCAGGACCTAGCCTTATTAAACTAAACTCAATTTGATCTGATCAACTTGTCCTTTCCCAGTAAGTGGAGATAAAACATTGGTCTTTATTAATATTTGATAAGTTTCAGGAGTTATTTCTATAAGAGACCTTGCTAAAGGCCTATTTCTGGTGCTGGAGGGATCTCATTTACTATTTCTTAAATGGTTTTTCCACATGCTCTTTCATTTCATTTATATTATTTGAACTGATCATCAAATTGAAGAACAAGCACTACATCCAAAAAAATTTTCATTTATTTTCTATTCCAATACTATCTAACTGAATTGGTCTAGTAGTTTAGAAATATACTCATCGTTTAGGTTTTTAATGCTGAGCAATCAAATAGGAGTTTGGAGCCTTTGATGATTCCAGATCCTCTGAATGCTCAATTTTTGGCAATGGAATTCCGCGAAGTGCAACATTTTCCCTCTATTCTACTACCATAACATGGGCAACTGAAAATTTTCACATTCATATTAATCCTCATTAAGATCAGTGAGTTTTTCTAAATCTTCTTAAGTGATTGTAATGATCAAACTCGCTCTAGGATTTTTTTCGGATGAACAAGTCTCTATAAGAATTACTTTCGGTGCGGGTATGAGGACTTCATATGATCTTTAGCAAGTATAGAAGATGCAATTTTCTATCCTTTTTATTTCTAACAAGAACTAAAGATATATTGGAGTTCTTAGATATATTTTGCATAGTGGACATACTAGCTTGCTCAAATCTGCCACTAGGACAGACTTGCTTATCTGAGTAATCAAAAATTGATCAAAGATTGGATTTTTACCCTTTAAAGAGGAAACAACACTTTCATTCCTCTTCCTAGTAAACAGGCTAGAGGTCTCTGAAGTGACCTTCACCAGCTTGACCTATGATCTTATATTGGCCTGTGGTGAAGATGTTCCTATTTATCATGAGTGGCTGAAAAGTATATTGAAGTGTCTTTTCATTTGATTTGGAATATTTTTGACACTTTATTTATCTTTCTCATAATCTTTAAATTGCAGACATATTTACAATGGCCATGACATGGCAATGTTATGAGCTCATTATGGGCTTATTGATGCTTACCGAACAACATTTATTTGAAGGGGAATATTGGTTAGATATATGAAAACACACATCATACCAATATTAGCCATAATTACTGCATGACTTGTATTTTATTATTACATAATTATTGCTATAGAATTTATCTAATTAAGTAGTGTGATTATAAATACTTGTATTTAGGAGTAAAATTATTGGTTCCCAACTAGCCAAATTTGATTGTTGAAAATTTTGAAATTCAAACTCGTAGCATGCCAAATATTTGTCCATAAAATGATGATAATTTGCGTTGTGAGGAAAAGCAATCTGATTGACAATTTGCGCATTATTTTAAGACATTGATTAAATATTAGAGTAATATGCTAAATTATTGAATATTTGTCCCCCATTCGTTCTTGATTCACCATTTCCTTATTTTCATAATCACAGGCTGGTACTGGCATTGCAGAACTCATAGCACTTGAGATGTCAAAACAGGTATAGCTAATTTTTTTCTGCAAATCAGATTTGCATGAATACATATGTGATAAAATAGAATACTTACCCTTATGCTCGACTTCTTCTACCCTTAGTACCAACATTAATATATATCGAAATGTTTGATTATGCTAAATGTATTTATTATTGGTTATATGGATGCAGACAAGTACTCCTATTGCAGAATGTCGCAAAAGAATCTGGCTTGTGGATTCTAAGGTTGGAACATATTCAATTGGTTTTAGAAGAGAAGATAGGATGCTTTAGGCTTCGTTTGGGACAGCTTTCTAACTGCTTCGTAAAGCAACTTTCTAGTACAAAATTTTTAATTTTTGTACTAAAAGGCTACTCTAGGAAGCAATAAAAAAGCCGTCCCAAACAAATCTTAGAGTGTACATAATGTTATCTAAGAATTATCTTTGGCTGAATTTTACAGGGTCTAATAGTCAAGTCCCGTTTTGAGACTCTCCAACACTTCAAAAAACCATGGGCTCATGAACACGAATTTGTTAGGGACATATCAGAGGCTGTCAAGGTATGAATCTGTGGTGTATTTTATGTGAACATACATATTTATTTACTGTTAGTGTATAAATCAACTTACCTTTTCTTCCCCCAATTAATTTTTCTTTTAAGCCTACCATGAAACTCAACAGTTCAGATTCTTCAAGTATGGAAAAATAACTATTTTCATGCCTACTCTTATAAATTCATCCAGCATATATGTTGCTTGTTTGTTGGACTATGAGATATTAAAAGCTCATTCCACTCCTCAATCTTGTAGACAAAGCTTCTGTTTACAATGATATGAACTTCATTGTTTGTTATTTTGCAGGTTATCAAGCCAACTGTACTCATTGGATCTTCTGGAGTGGGCAGAACTTTCACAAAGGAAGTAGTTGAGACCATGGCTTCCTTCAATGAGGTATCTTAATTACCCTCATGGCATGAAGCTTGCATTCACAGTTTGATTGCTAGAGACTCAAAGCTTTGTTTGAAATGCAGAAACCTATCATCTTAGCTCTGTCCAATCCAACATCACAGTCTGAATGCACTGCTGAGGAAGCATACACTTGGAGTAAGGGTCGAGCAATCTTTGCTAGTGGAAGTCCATTTAATCCTGTCGAATATGAAGGCAAATCTTTCACGCCTGGGCAGGTCTGGGCTTTGTTCTTCCATCTGTCGGTGAAAGCTTGATTCTTTCTAATCTGTATATTTCTTGTTCTTCCAGGCAAACAATGCTTACATATTTCCTGGATTTGGTCTTGGTTTAATAATGTCAGGAGCTATCCGTGTACATGATGACATGCTTCTTGCAGCTTGTAAGTAAACATATAAACAACTATAGTTTGCAGGGAAAAAATAACTGCTTGATTACAGCCTTTTCCTGATCTAAAACATAAAAACAACTATATTCATCATGATGTTCAATAACTTATTCGACTTGATTCCATTTTCGCTGGACAGCGGAAGCTCTAGCTTCGCAGGTGACGCAGGAGAACTTTGAAAAAGGATCAATCTATCCGCCTTTCAAGAATATTAGAAAGATATCAGCTCAAATTGCTGCTGATGTTGCTGCCAAAGCATATGAACTTGGTTAGTCAATCTTCCTCTAATAACAGCATTGAAAGGACATTTTCATGACCACATCTCTGAGCTCTGATCTTTCACTTACAGGCTTGGCTTCTCATCTTCCTCGCCCTCAAAACCTGGTGAAATATGCAGAGAGCTGCATGTACAGCCCTATTTACCGCCAATATCGATAAATTCGGCAGTCAATTTATGATGTCAGTTACTTCAGCTTTTAATCTGCGTTTAACGATTTAAATTATTTATTAGTATTATGCAAGTCAATTCGTTTATGCCTCAGCTCTTAGAGAGTTTGTTGTTGGTGGCTTCTGCTGTTAGTGTAATAGGTGTTTTCATATAACATAACATCATATATTCTTTCAGTGCAAGTGGAATTTGTTCTTCCAGCTGAATATGATTGACATAATGGAAAAAAATGTTGTTTTTTATCAGTATTGTGCAATTTTTTTTTTTTTTTATAATGATATTAGTGTAAATTGCAATTAGATCCCTAGGAGATAGATCAAATTTCATATTGGTCCATATTAAAATAAAAAATAATAAATCATCAAATTACCATTGTTGCATGCTTCATTTGTTGAGATTTTTGGTCATTATCTTATTGCCCATTTTTTCTCTTGTTGAAATTTTTGATGTACATTGATAATCTTATCAGTAGTAATTTTAGTTTTTATTAAGCGAATAAGATCAACATAGGAACGAATGGTTTCTCGTATTAATAAATAGTAAAATGATTTAGGAAGAAGTTCTTCAAGAAAAAACTCCTTGCGATAACTCATGATTCACTTCTGCAATTTGGTGAGCTTCAGAATTTACTATTTAAAGTCTTCTTTTTTATCTTGGTGGATTCTTGAAAGATAGAATGAAACTTTTATAGTTCTTTAGTTGATAATTAAATGTTTAAAATGGGTGAAAATGTTGATTTTATTTTTGGGGAGAGAGTAGAATCAAGTGTGAGATTGAGTTACGAGAATGACAGAAAAAAATTGACAAAACAGTATATAAAATATTTTGTTGTATATTTATAATGGTTCTATAATCATTAATATGCTTATAGGGATTAAATGATTTATTATAGAGATTAATATTGAGTAATTTGAATCCCATTAGAATAGGATGTTAGAGAGTTTTATTCGATAGGGGTGCTGACTCTTGGAAGTTGTGTTGAGGAGTAAACTGGTTTCTATTCCTTATTGGAAATTCTTCTTGAACGAAATGTTGTAGCGTATCTCTATAACATCACAAAGAATATATATAAGTTGAAGTTAAGTCAAATCCAACAAAACAAATGGAGGATTTTGTGTTGGTCAAGCTTTGTGAGGAGGATGGGTTAAGGTTTTTTTTTTTTTTTTGGTTAAAGTTCACATAGAGGCCTACATGTTATATAAGAAAAACCTTCAAGTCCATAGAGGACTAGAAGCTATCCAAAAACATAGCATTTGAAATAAAACCTGATAAGCCGAGATCCTATCTATTGCAAAGCAAGAGGAAATTTTTTTTAAAAAAAAACAAGGAAAAATAGAACATACACAAAAGACAACACCAACAACACATGCAGCTCCAACATCAACGGCTCTAGCGTCTACCTCCACACAACAACAAAAACATTCATATATCTTACTCAAATTAAGGTTCTGAAAACAAACAGGAAACTAATATGACTCAAAATAAATAGGAAAAGGCAGGTAAACAACAAGCATTAGGACCCAAAAATCAAAATCCACACAGACCAACACCTAGACCGAATAGAAACCAAAAATCCCCAATTGAGCGAAGACAGAGGCTTAGAACGAAAAGCCAAACATCAGACATAGGGACCAACCAACCAACACAAGCCAACCCTTAGACCCACCATCCAGCCAAACACAAAGCCAATCAACCCCATCAAAAACCCAACACTAACCAACCACTAACAAACTCCACAATAACCGCCAATCCAAAAACCCCCCAATGGCCAGACAAGGGCAAACACAAGCCCACCAAACCAAGAGACAGAGCACCACAAAAGGTCCAAAAAAGCACAGAGAACCACGCCAAAGAGAAACCACACCCAGCCAATCAGAACCAAGCAATAACATATCAACAAGAATTACTTCCTTTTAGATTTATGCCTACAACGTTTGCCGCCCCCATGAGAGAGAGCATTCTCAAAATGTGCTCACATTCAAATTAAACGTCACATTAAACTCATCTTCAGACCCATCTTCCCCATCACACCCACAAACAGAAGAGAAAGGCTCATCAAGCCAATTAGATTGATTCACATAAGAATTCTTCATATTCAACACCAATTGAGCTTTTCAACACCTCATTAGAAATAATAGAAATTGGAACATCAACAAAAGACACATTTCTATTCGAAACCACAATATTAGGCGACAAGGAAGGTTCGGGAGTAGGCAAGGATGGTTCATCAAAAGCAACAAACAAACCACTAGAGGTATCATTCAACATCACCGTGTTAACATCACACAACCCCATGTTCACCACATCCAATTTATTATGATACAAACCAAGAGTGATATATGACGGATCCTTCTCATCAACAACTGGTGAAATACCCTCACAAACCTCTTGAACAGGGCAAACCAAATCCACACTAGGAGAAGCACAATGACTATCAAAGATATTGACAACATGAGCAGTAACCTCTATTCCACCAACATTAACACTAATAGAATCCAAATTTTCGAGACAGATGATGGGTTAAACTTGGGGCATCATCAACTTCTGGATTAGGTTGTGGTGGAGGATGGGCATCGACACGATGATGAGGGTATCTTTCGCGAGCATCTTCAAATTGCCCACCCATATTACATTGTTAATACTGTGGTGAGCGAATTCTGTTATTTTGTTATTGTGCTCTTTATTGACAAGCCTCATGCAATAGATGCAAACAATGTTTTTAAAACAGGACCATACCGGCTGGTTTGACTATGAACTGGTTTAGTTGTTGGTCCGGAGATGTTAAAAAGTCGAATCTATATTGATCTGGTGAGAATCAGTTTGAACTGCCGATTCAAACGATACATCGTCGAACCTTAATGGAGATTCTTAATAAGTTTTATGTTGAGCCTTAATGGAGCTTATTATGAACTTTAATCAAAATAGTTATATAGTCTTTCTTAAAATTTTAATTATTACGTAATTTATATTATATTTAAATTAATTTAACATTTATCACATCATCCAGTTCAACCTTGGTGGAACCATCAAATCATGAATCTCTTCTTTTTTCGGCTCATTGTCTGGTTCAATTTTCACAACATTTGATATAAGATTCTTGCTTGCTGCTCTTCCATCCCACAATTTGATTTTTTAAGGTTAGAGCTTGAGGTCCCTTTCTTTCTTGGTTATGATGTCCATGATTACTAGATAGATTCTTGATTTAATGAGTGTTGGAATGAAAAAAATCTGTTACTCGCATGACTTCGATCAGCCATTAAAAAGGCGTGTTGGGAATATTTCCCACAGATGACGTCAAATTAGTGCATGCTAGAAAATTTGAGTTAATATTAATATTTTCTTATAATTATCCCATTTAAACAAAATTGCTAACATATTAAAATTTGTTGAAATTATAATTAAATAAAAGAATGACATTTTATATAAAATTAAGCTTTGAAAAATTGTCCCAATCACATAATAAATCATACTTTGCTTCACCATGCAGCTAAGGAACCAATTATTAACTTATAAAGTCTTTTTCTTTTCTTTTCTTTTTAATTTTTAGTTTATTTCAAATATTTTTCATGCATTGACAGGTGAATATGCTGCCACATATGCTAATATAAGAGAGAGTGAGGTTTTTACCCATCCGAATCTTTACTTAGTGACATTGGAGGGGTTTACAAAGTATATGATGAATATATGTTGAATTTTGTCGCTTGGTTTATATCAAAGTTGTAGAATCTTATAATTATATATCACACAACTATGAAAAAAAAAACTATGTGAGGATATTATGATTAATATTTTAGTCAGGATATATCTCTAAATTAGTAGATTTATTTTGAAATAAGTATATTATGAATTTTGATTTATTACTTATGTATTGGATTCTTCTCAATGTAAATATATGTAATATATTTTTTTTCATTAATAAGTAAATTTAATTAATTTTTAATGATGTAAAATTATAATCATTAAGTTTGGAAAATAATTGCTTAACAACATTTTGCTGCACACCACCAACCAAAACTCACTGCTAGGACAATATATCTTAGTAGCGTTTTAAAAATCACAGTAAATTTTGACTTTTTTTAAGTGTTTTTTTTGGGGGAAAATTTAGACCAATTAAAGCAAATTGATACACACATCACATAGTAAGACTTAGGCTTCGTTTGGGACGGCTTTTTTATTGCTTTCTGAAACGGAGTTTTAGTACAAAATAAAAATTTTGTACTAAAACTCCGTTTCATAAAGCAATAAAAAAGCCGTCCCAAATGAAGCCTTAAACCCAATACCTCTTGATTGATAGCTAAAGCTCTCAACCAACAGATCAAGATAAACTTCATTTTTAGCACTTTAAACTATTGCAAAGTTTTAATAACGATTACAACTACTAGTTATGCTTATACATGCATTAAAAAAAAACAACTAAAAATTCCAATCATTTCTCCCTCCATCTCAGGAACAATTATTAGGTCCGCTTATCGGACGTAGCTCTACGTTCGGTCACCACTGAGATTGCACCACGTGCTCTTACTCTCTACCGTGCGGCCCGACGACTTGACCCGGAACGGAACCCGGGAATGCTATGTTCGCGTATTGCTAGGTATTACTCGGTATTTGCTTGGTATTGCTCGGTATTGCTATGTATTGCTTGGTAATAACGAGAAATACTGCTCTGTGAAGGCCAATACCGAGCAATACCGAGTAATACCGTGTTTTTTAGAAAAACTCGATATTGCCCGGTATTACTCGGTATTTGTCTTCACATAATGGTATTTCTCGTTATTGTCGAGCAAAATCGACAAATACCTAGCAATACCGAGCAATACCTAGCAATACCGGGTTGTCATGGATTTAAAAAAAGCACGTGCGACATACCCACTATTCGCCAGGTCGAATCCGCAGTTTTGTGCCTACTACGTGGCGCGTTCTCAGCGCTCGCCGAACCTAGCTCTACGTCCGGTCACCGGACCGGACCAAATAAAAGTTCCCATCTAAGGCATCATTTGGGACAGTTTTCTTATTTATTTTTAGTACAAAATTTTCTTAAATGCAGCAAAAAAACAGAGGCACAAAACCGTCAGAAGCCAAGCCTAAACCTAATCATGCTCGGTCCCTTCTTCCTTCTCTGCGATCCTTCTGCAGTTCGACTTCCTCCCCGCAATTTTCGCAGCCTGTTTGTTAGTACTAGGCAAAGGATTTTGAGTTACCTAACTCGATATTTTCCTTACAGAGAAACCCCATTCCAAGAAGCAGC